ATGAAGAGTCCCTCTCCGGCTTCCCTGTAGGTCCCCTTCAGATACTGGAAGGTTGCTCTGAGATCTCCATGCAACCTTCTCTTTTCAACACTAACATCACTTACTCTGTTGCCAAAGATTAAAATTCCATTCTCTTTACTTGTCATTACTAACCATATTCTAAGTATAAAACTAGGTCTTCTTTATTGTTTTTTTTTTCCTATAAGAAATAAATTTTAGAGGATTAATAGATCAAACAAGGGACTAAGTGCTAATTTTTTTTTTTTTTAACTTATTTGGCAGGAGATAGAACTGATGTGCTGCAAATACCTGTAAAATCACAGTGCTTGCAGTACCATATTTACTGGAAACAAGGTACTATTTAATGAGAAAAGGAAAAGAAACTATTGCAAGTAATTTATAAAGACCTTAAATGCCCAGTGGGCTTTGTTACTCACAGCAGTGGAGAGGAGGTGAGCAGGGGGAAAAGACAGACACCAAAAAAAAGCACTAACCAAGAAAACACAAGGTCTGTGAATGACAGACATAAAAGGAACATTCTTGTAGTCCTAAAGTAAAAGGCATTATGAATTGATGGTTGTCATATTATACTAGAAAGACTGCCTTAGTCTTTTTTTGCATTTTTGGTGGTGGTGTTTTACTGTGTTTTGTCTCCTGGACATGCTTTTAAAATAAATTATCACACTCTTTATTATTGTTTCGTAATTCACTTAGTTGAATGCCAGACTTTTCTTCCAGAAATCCTGAGAATACTAAATAGAATAAGAAGCAGACTAGGCCTACATCATCATCGGCTTTCAGGATGAAAAAAATTCCACAGTTCAAATAAATAGTCCTTTCTTTTCCTTGTTACTTCCTGAAAACAAAACAGAGGTGCTGATAGAGTAGAGAGGGGCGAAGACACCAACAAAAAGTAGAAGTATTTTAAAAAATGAATAGTGTGTGAAAAGTCTCATTAAAAAAAATAAAAATCACAACAACAAGAAATTCAGTCTAAGATCTAAAATTCTTTCATCCATCTGTCACTAATTAAAAAGAATGTCAAAGAACATATGGTCTTGAAACTACAGGGAGTTAAAAAAGAAAATGAAAGAAGTTGCACTAACAGTGCACTTAAATAACAGTTTTCAGTAAGTGCCTGACAAATCCCACAGAAAGGTATGTAAAGGACAGGAGGGTGACTTGGAATGAAGGACCACAAAGAATTCAACTGGTATGATTTTTTTTTTTTTATTTTTCTTATACTGCAAATTGCAAAAGTGATAAAAAACTTCCCTTGGAAAACACAAGGGAGACAGTCTGAGAGAGAAGCCAGACTCCTTCTTTTAGTTTGTATGTCAGTGTTTTCCGTGAGTGTCATGCTTTTATAATTGCTTTTGTTGATCATCTCTTCCTCTAAATTTTACTAATTTCTATATTAAAAAATCATGTTTGACTTTTTCTATGCCTTTAAATTGAATTCGTTATTAAAGACTGTAGTTTTCAAGAATTTAAAACCTCTTACTTTTTCAATAATAATGGTGTCTCGTGTCTTAAGTTTGGTCAGAAAAATGAAAGAAGAGTGTGAAATATTTTTGTTTAAAGAATATCGTTATGTAAAAAGTACTACATTAGGAATTCTAAATTAATACTGTTTTATTACTCCTACTTATTGTAGACAGAATCTAGTTCAGTAGTCACATATAATTTTTTTCTCTCTTTAGTTGTTCGCATAATGGTGTTTATTCTTTAACAACATAATCATACCTTCCTCATAATTCAATCTAATTGCATTGTGATTTTTATATGAGGAGTATTACATTACTCTGCAATTTATCTTTTCTGCTTTTCCTCCTCAAAGTAATTTTCTGCTCCTTATCAGCCCTTCTTCCATGTTCATTCATATTCCTATCAATTCTCCTTTTTCTCTGGTATTAGTTTTTCTGGGGGGAAGGAAACATGCAATAATTAAGTAGTGAGTCTGTAGGACATGCATCCTTATCAAGAATTAAAAAAAAATCCCAAAACACTCGCCCCTCAAAAACCACCACTTTTTCTATCCAAGACGCTTCATCTAAAAAGGTCCTATCAATCAAGTTCCCTGGTTGAAAATTAAATAAAAAAATGCTTGAAAAACTAAGAGCACTCATCTTATTCAAAAGCTTTTCTTTTCTTAATAATTCTAAAAAACAACAGAATTTATAGGCTTCTTGATGGTTAAAACCTATAAAAGATCATTACTGAAGCAAAACATTTTAAAATGTTAAGAAAAATACCTTGTTTGAAACATGAACTTGTCTTCAAAATTTCATTCATGAAATGGGATGAGTTGCACATTTGTTTTTTTTTCTCATTTTAAGAAATGTTTCCAAAATCTCTAGAAATCTAAGTTGTGAAGATTACTTGCAGTCAAGGACATCCATATATAACAGATCTCTTCTTGTATGTACTCTATCAATCATCCACAGATTTCTGGAAGCTGGGAAGTCTTGAATTAGAGCGTAGAAAAATACCCACAGGCTTTTTCCAGGACATTATCCCCTCATAGTCTCAAAAATTCAGAAATTTACATTGTTGATGATAATAATTTCCAGGTACTCTGCCTGTACCTGCTGGATTCCTTCAGGATTTTCATCGTTCCTATAACATGAGACTTTCACATGTCTTCCCATTGATCTAGGTTGTTATTATAAATAAGAGACGGAGGGAGGAAGAAAGAACAGTTTAATTTTATTTCTCTAGTCTAGTATCTGCATGTCCACTGACTGTTTGGTTCTGCCTGCATTGTCTCTGATAGCTGTAGAGCACACAGGGCCAGACAGATCAGAAAGATGGGTCGTCAAAAATGGCCAGGTCACACACAGACCATAATGTGGGATATAGAAATGTACTACCCATGATACAGTATACTGGTTTTGTTTGGGATAGAGTTAATTTGGTTCCCAGCAGCTAGTATGGGGCTGTGTTTTGGATTTGTGTTGAAAACAGTGTTGGTAATTCAGGGATGTTTTTGTCAGCAGTGCTTACACAGCACTGAGGCTTTTTTCTGTGCTTCACCACACCCCTCTAGTGAGGATGCTGGGGGTGCACAAGAAGTTGAGAGGAAACACAGCTGGGACTGACCCATGGGATATTCCAGACCATGTGGTATCATGCTCAGCATATAAGGCTGGGGGAAAAGAAGCAAGGAAGGGATGTTTGGAGCAATGGCATTTGTCTTCCCAAATCTCTGTTACATGTGATGGATCCCTGATATCATGGAGATGGCTGAACACCTGCCTGCCCATGGGAAGTAGCAAGTTAATTCTTTGTTTGGCTTTGTGTAATATGCTCAGTTTTTGATTTACCTATTAAACTCTCTTTATCTCAACCGATGAGTTTTCTCACTTTTACCTTTCTGATTCTCTCCCCCACCCCACCGGAGGGAAATGAGCGGGTGGCTGTGTGGTGTGACTTCCCAGCTGGGGTTAAACTATCTCTAGAAGTGTACTAGTCCCCCTATTTTTATCCTAGAATTATTTCCTTCATTCCACATTAAAACCTTGATTTTTTCTGGTGTGCAAACTTGATTTTCATTGATGTGAATCACAGATCCCAAAACTATGACAAGGAAGACTATCTCCTCTATAACACCCTGTGGAAACTGACCACCTATTTTAACCTCCCAAGGTAGTCTTTGCTTCTTATATTTCGCTCTGATAAATAGAATAGCTTGCGCTTTTACTTCTCTATTCCTTCACTTAATGTTGTGTTTTACAGATCAAGAAATATTTTTGCCATTGGCCTCTGAACTTGGCTCATGGTCAAGCACAAGTAATACCAGCCTCATATTTGGAATTTTTTCCTAATAACACATATATTGCTTTCTGTGATTCCACAGATTGCTTGAAAGCTTGGTTCTATGCACCTCATCAAAAATCAATTTAATATTATATTTGATAAATTAGTAAGATTCTCAGTCATTGCTGAGATTTGTGAAAGTGGAACCTTTTGGCTTTTGTGTGATGTATTCAGCCTTGAAGAACCAAGGTCTGAATTCTTTACTTCCTCAAGTGTACTTAAAAACAGAGCAGTGCATATGAATCATAGTTCAAGTATCCTGATTATTGAAATAGAACAATCAAATAAGTATCAGATTACAATCAATTTAAACTATTTTTTCTGGCTGAGGCACTGGAAAAGAGGAATTATACCATTTGTTATTAATTTAAGAATGTTTTTAAGCCCAGCTGTGGCTTTTCATTTTTAATGTCAAAACAGAAAAGGTGGGGGAAAACAGAGCTGAAGGAGGAAGAATTTAAGAGAAAAAAAGTCCAGTCAGAGATTTCTAGAAAGAACTCAAACCCTATAAAAGTGTAGGATCCAAGAAACTACATCAAAGGCTGCTGAAAGACCTGGTCAATGTCCTTGAAAACCACTCTCTGTCATCTTCACTGGACTGTGGAGATTTGGGGATTCCTGATTGCAGAAAAGCACTTATCATACCAACTTTCAAAAGGTGATAATCCAGAAGACTAAAGGCCCAGGTGAAATTGTTGAGTAAATCTTTCTGAAACACATTTCTGGGCACATAAAAACAGAAGTGATTTGTAACAATTAGCATGAATTTATCATGGGTAAATCTTGCATGACCAGTCAGATTGCTTCCTGTGATAAGCTGCCTGCTTGTGGCTGAGGGAGGTGTGGTGGACATCATTTGCTTTGGTTTTTAGAAAGGTTTTGACACTGTTTTTCAGATTTTCTGCTATTCAAGTGAACATATCTGGGCAATCAGATAGACAAAACATCAGTGAGGGGCTTTGTCTCAGAGGATAGTTGTTAAGGAACCATGTTCCACCTAGAGAATGGTTACAAGTAGAGTAGCATAGATATCTATCTTGGGGATCTTTCCTGTGTAACACCACATCCTGGAGTAAGAGATGAGGTGAATACTCATCATAAACTGAGATAGCTTCTGTGAGATCAGGAGCTGCTGCCATGTCACACAGAACCAGCTCCGCTCGGCTCCAGTAGACCCATCACTGGCCAAAGTTGTCCAGTTGAGTGGGAGGAGTAGGAGAGCGGCTGGGTGGGCATCTGGTAGTCAGCCAAGATTGAAACCCAGTCATGGTATGGTATTTCTCACTTTAAATTTTCTACCCTTTCTATAAATAGGCATTTTTTCATGTCAGTGTTCATCTCTGTTTACAAGGATACTGTTAAAAATTCTTTCAGTTGTCAATGGAGCAACAAATGTATAATGAACAGGCAAATGTGTGATTATAACAAGAAGCTCTAATAATAGCTCTATAGTAAGAAGATACTCTATAATAAGAAGACTCCTGATATTTTACTTCCAGTAAGGAGGAATTTCTCTTCTCTAGGTTTAACCAGAGAGTGTCATTGTTGTCATTGTTATCCACTCCTGTAAGAGTGAAATAGCAATTGTAACTGTGGAACAGCAAAGGGAATATTTTCATTGACAGACCAGGGTGTTGCAGGATAGCGGTCATTGGCAGAAGACACACGACTTGGCAGCTGGTTTGTTTAACTGGTTTTTCTGTTTCATTTTCATGGTGTTTACATATCCAATTGCTTTTTGGCGGAAAATTAACAGCATAGTGAGATGGATTTCTGGGTGATTTAAAGAGGTGTGACTTGAGTGAAATCCCTAATGGTTCAATCCATCAGTTACAAATCTGACCTTCTTCAATCTAGGTTGCTCTTTATTTTTCACGATGGAAAAGCTGCTAATCCCCTGTTGGTTAATTTCTCTTCAAGGTCTGGTTCTGAAATACAGCTCATCAGCTCACATATGAATGTTCCACAGTAATCATAAACTGAAGTTAATTCCCAGTCTCTCCTAATCACCATGGTAACACACCCAGGCAAGCACAACTAAGAAATGGAGGTACCCTGAAAGATTTTGTCTAAAAAAGCAAAAGCTCAGTCATGTTCTGAGCACAGAGAGCATTTTTGTGGATATTTTCATGGGTACTCTGCAAGTCTACCTTACCTTCCATGAAATGACTCTGGAACCAAAACACACTAGAAAATAACAAGATAGCCATTCCATTTCAAATATCCCGGTGGTATTAGGTTTCAAAATTCTACATGTAAAGCAATGTAAAGCAGCATCTATCTTTTTCTGATATGCACCAAGATTTGTTCATTCACTGCTTTTGTTTTTCTTCTTTCAGTGTGAAATAGCATTAGTACCATCTCAGTAAATTTTTAAAGCCTGGAAATACAAGGACATATGATTCCTGGACAGTCTCTTCCCTCTTGGGTAACTCTCAGTAGTATCTTCCATACAAGATGACAGTGTCACAGCAGCTATGAAGTGGGTTTCAAGGTAGTTTTTAGGTATAAGAAATTTTCAGACCAGTTTTCCATTTCTTTGGAGTGTGGATTGGAATGCATGATTTACAGACAGCTGAGTACTACACATGATGACTTATGACAAGTAAATTTGTATATCACAGAACACTTAATGTGCAGTTTCCGCTAAAAAAAAACGGTCATTCACAATTTTAAATTATTTATGACATGTTTTCTGTTACCTGCTACATTTGTACCCCACTGACATCTTGTCAAAATCCAAATACACCTGTTTGAGAGCTGACAAAGAGAAAAAAAGTAATAACTGAAGCAATTGTTATGCAATTGGGCCTCCCAAGATTGCATATACTTAGCAAACTTAAACAGGACACACTTGTGTTCTTTTTTGATACTAATTGTTCTGAATAAAGTCTAGAAAGCAAAAGATTCCTCATTCAAACACAGCAAAACAGATGGTAAAGAATGCGTGACAAGTGTATTACTTTGCTCCAGCAAAAAAATACTGGAAAGTAGCACCATGGAAAGGGACCTGAGGGTCCTGGTTGATGACAAATTGAATATGAGTCAGCAGTGCCCTGGCAGCCAGGAGGGCCAACCATGTCCGGGGGGGCATCAGGGAAAACATCTCCAGCTGAGTGAGGGAGGGGATTGACCTGCTCTGCTCTGCACTGAGGCGGCCTCACCTGGAATATTGTGACAGTCTTGGGCACCATGATATAAGAAAGATATTAAGCCATTAGAAGTGTCCAAAGGAGGGCAACAAAGATGGTGAAGGGCCTTGAGGGGAAGCCGTGTGAGGAGTGGCTGAGGGCGCTTGGCTTGTGCAACCCAGAGAAGAGGAGACTGAGGGGAGACCTCATTGCAGTTACAACTTCCTCGTGAGGGGAAGAGGAGGGGCAGGCACTGGTCTCTTCTCTGTGGTGATCAGTGACAGGACCTGAGGGAATGGCCTGAAGGTGTGTCAGAGGACTCCCCAGGGCAGTGGTCACAGAACTAAGCCTGACAAATCTCAAGAAGTGTTTGGATGACACTCTTGGGTACATGGTGTGACTCTTGGGGATGGTCCTGTGCAGGGCCAGGAGCTGGACTTGCTGATCCTGGTGGGTCCCTTCCAACTTGGTATACTCTCTGATTCTGTGATTCTGTAATTGGTCCTATATTGTCTTTAACTGCTTCATGACTACCTTTAGTGTCTGCTTGTCTTCCATTACACTTTTGTTTCTCTACCTCTTACATACTTGCTTCATTGCAATCTGTTGTGAACTCTCTTTGCTTTCTGTGCTTCACTATTGTACTTGTAGGGAGGACTGGGTGCACGTACTGGCAAAGAGTGACCTTTCATTCTTTCTATGCTATTGCTGTGCCTCAGCGTTGGAGTTTGCCTTACAGATTGAGAAGGGCAGTGAGAGCACAGAAAACAATATGTACATTCTCAACACTGTACTTATTTCCTCAACTTTTCTTCAGGAAATAAGTTTATTGAGTGAAATATTTGGGATTTGATAAGTGATTTTGTTTCTTCTTTTTTCTTTTCATACTGTGAGAGCAGAGTGTTGTGGTGTTGAAGACAAACCAAAAACTTGTTCATAAAAATACTTTTCACTATGTTTAGTTTTCTTGAATCTGACATCTATCTGGCAAAGCAAAAAACATCAGAAAAACTGAATGAAAAGTCACGTAGCAAGCTAAGTGACTCTAAATTTCCCTCCTTCCCTCCTTTTCCTCTCAAGCAGGCTTGCAATGTTAGTCATTTCAGAGCCATTAGAAAAAAATGTCTGTGTCCATGCACAATGACATTGCAATAGAATTAAAAAAATATTCTCACTGTCATAACTACTGTGTTTAAAATGGGGGGAAAAAACTAGAAATGCACTCTGGCAAACGAGAACAGTGGCTCATTAGTCAGAGAGAAAACAAGGGAAAAAAACTCTGAAACAAATACTGAAAAAGTAGACAAGGAATAAGGCAATGATTCCTGTATTTGTTAACAGCCAGAGACAATACTGGAGCTACATCAGGAGGCAGTCCACAATTATTTCAGTTAGGAGGAGGTAAATGTTTTCGATTTGGACAGGTCACACCCAAGTCCTACTGAACTCTGTATTGACCTTGTTCCACTCTGTGCCTTTTATATACTACAGCAAAAGAACACAAAATGTGTGTTGACAACTTTTAGCAGCCACAATTCTTGTGGTAGAACTGAATAATTTCACTGCAGAAACAAAAGCTTATTAAACTGGACATTGTAAAAGCACCTAAAAAAATGTAATCTCACTTCAAAGAAATTATAATGTGAGAATAATGTATGTGATTACAGGTCACTGCACATGGACTGACTGGAGAACACAAGAAAATACTGAATAATATCAATGAAATCACCTATCACTGAGTGCTGCCAGTGCATGTTTTGCCTTGAGGTACGAGGGTTTATGTACAAAAAATAGAATGTTTGTCTTCCTGCACATGAGATAGTACCTTTACCATGGATTCAATTAAACGGTTTAATTAAACTCTGTCTGAAAGTTCTATTATATTCTATTCTATTCTGACCATGTTCTTATTTTATTATTACTCTTATTCTTTCAGACAATCTTTCTAGTATCCAAAGATTTTCCACAGTGTTTTGAATATGACTAACAACTCTCAGCTGTTGATTTTCTCCTCAACCACCTCCTGAGAGAGAAGTACCTGTAATGATGGGACTTATTTTGCTTTGTGCTCTCCCTTTCTTCAGATGCATATTGCTAGGTATTGTTAGAGAAAGCACTTAGAGTGAGAAGTGGTGACACTTATGACAGTTCCAAGTTTCTGAAGTGAAATACTTTGCAGCCTTGGACTGCCCCCTGAAAATATTCCACTTTTCTCTCATTTACTCTCCTGTACCTGCAGACAGCTCCTTGTGTCAAGGGACTAAAACTGTCAACAAAATTCTTCATCTCAAAGATTTAGGTGATGTTTTTTCCTTAAGTATCCTAAGCCAAGTGCTGGAATACTTTGAAAAGAACATGCAAGACCTTGACCTTCATTCATTTTCTAACAAAAGGCAGTGTACAGTAGAGTGGCTGTGGATATGTGCTGTGGTAGCATGCTCCATTCAGTATTTTTGAAGTACCGTAATCCTTGTGCCCTGGTAGGCCAAATTGCCATAGAACAACTGAGACATGAGGAAAACATGAAAACTCATCATCCGTGAGGATGAGACAGTCTTTTACTTGGAGCTAACATTATCTATAGTTGAGGTGATGTGAACATGAGGAATCCATATGTACTGAGAAGAAAACTTGCTGGTATTATGAACTTCCAAAATTAAAAAATACAATTAAAAAAAAAAATAAAAAATAAAAGTGTTGGGTTTTTTTCCTTCTGTTAAGCTGTTGGGGTTTATTTGTAACCAAAAATAGCAGAAATAATTCTGTTACTCCTTCACTGGTTTAGTTTGCACAGAGCTTCCAGGGGAAAAATATACCTATTTATATGTGTGTATATATACAGGTACATATATATATTTATAAATATATAAAGATAGATATTGTTCACACGCATATTTCTGTATATGTCGTTGTATGCACTGAGTGGGAGAAAGATGTATCAAGAAAGTAAGATCTGAAGCAAGCAGGGTGATCAGCTGGGATTAAAAATTTGGCTCCAAGACCCTGCCTGTGTGATTCAGATTGAGGTACAGTGAACTAGAACCCAAACATATGTTTTTGACAAAATCCTCTTGGCTCTGAAAATTTCATCTTTTTCTGTTGCAAGGGAAATCAAAACTGAGAACTGAAAAGCGACAGTGAAAATGTCTTCTTCTCTGCTCAACTTATCTAACTTTGCATATTCCCATCAGATCTGCTGCAAAATCAATGCACAAGAGGGAAAAAATGTACCTATGAAAAAGCTTTAGATAAAAACTAGTTTTATAGATCACAAACTGTGAAAATTTTCCTCCTGTCTTTGCATCACTCTCCGAACAAGAGGATTTTAAGCTATTTAAAACCAGTGTTAATTCTGCTGAATTAAAATGAAGGTATTTCATTACCGGGTATTAATTTACATCACACTGGTGTAAATAACTAGACTATGCAGATGATCACCAGAGTAGAATCGATGTTCAGCCTTTATAATTTTATAATTCAAATGGTCTAGACTTTAACATACAAGTAGTCACTTCTAGGTATTTTCATTTTCTGACATGTTTTTGTTTTTTCAAAGGGATCCTCACATTTGGAAAACTCATCCATCAAACCAACTACTTAAAAATGTTAATTGGTTATGATGATACAAACTCCTTACATTTTTCCAAATGAAGAAGTGGAAACTAGAGGAGTGAGTGGAAACCAGAGGAGTGACATAATTTGCTTTCAGATTCTCTCTCAGAGAAACCAAACATATGAAACTCAGAAAAGAATTTAACTTTCAGACAGAGAATTTGTTTTTTTTTTTTTCCTTGAGCTTGTAATTTGGGACAATTTTCTAAGGATTTTACATTTTCTTATCTATTTTCCTTCAAGGATGACAACAATATATGTCAGCTGAAATTACTATTGAATCTTATTTGCCAGAATTGTAGTTTTTCTGTTGAAAAGAGACAAAAAAAAGCTTTTGAACTCTGACAGTGTGGTAGTTCTGGGAGAGATCATCTCTAGAGATAAAGTGTCTATCACTTTACTCTGAAAGTGGAAAAAGAAAATTACCTATACAGTGGTATTTTTGTGTCACATTCACATTCTACTGGGTGCAAAACTAGAAAGCCAGATATCTATCCATATCTATATGTCTATATCTGTATATTACGTCAAACAAGGAACATATTTAGTAGGAAAGGAAAGAGATTTATGAAAGGACTTTGAACTCCCCACCCACTTGGGTCTTTCTAAAATGCTACTGCACTTTATTTCCAGATTTGCAAACCCTCCCAGCTGGAAATAGAGAGCCAAGGAGGATTTCAATGAGCAGAACATGGTATAATAGACTGAAAAAGAGGAAATCTAGTCCATGTTTTCACCTCTGCATTCAGGCAAATTTTCAGCACTTTCAACCTCTGAACTTCTAAACAGTTTGAAAAAGTTTCAAATGTAATTTTTGAAGTATTTGAGTGTATATCCTAATGGTGGTCTTTGCCAACTGCAGTATCTTCACTTGATCTATGCTGGGTGGTCAAGCATTGGAAGAGGCTCAATCCATGGAGATGTGTAGATGTGGCACTTTGGGACATAGTTTAGTGGTGGATTTGGCAGTGCTGGGTTAATGGTGGGATTCAATGATTTTAGAGATCTTTTTCAACCTAAATGGTTCTATGATTCTACTATTCTCTAGCTTTGCTATCATCAAACTTTCAGAGAACTGCACAAATATTCATAAGCCAACCGTGCCTGCCCACCATTGTCATCGTGATCTCCCTTTTCATGTGTTGTATAGTTTGATAGAGGAAGTCCCTAAACAGATTCACTTGATCCATCCAACATGTTTTCATTGCAAAGTACAATTTGGTGATTGGCAGCTTTTTTTGAAGTACTGGTGCACCAAGTCCCATATAAAAATGTAAGAAGATGTGAAGCTGAAGTATAGTCTTTGACCTAGTACTCATCTTCAGGTTAAGTTTCGGAGTGTATTAAATGAATTAGGTCCTAATGATGCTTTATATAGCCCATTGACACACATCTCGTCAAAAACATGTCAAAGATGCTGATGTGAGATTACTTATATCTACTGTTTACATGTTGTGACAGACAGATCTTTAACCAGCTCTTTCCCAGCCAATATGAATACAGCATTCAACTCTGCCTCCTCAATGTTTATGACAGGAGATATTTAATTCTGATGGTAAAAAAGTTATAAGAAAGAATCAGAGGAGTTTTGGTACCAACTTTCTGTAAGGCAATTTGTGATGTTTTAAGGGGAAAAAAACCCACCAAAACCAATATGATGGAAAATAAAACCAGCATTCTACAGGACATAATGTAGAGGCAAAGTGAGTGTGAAATTCTCAGTTTAAGTCAAGCCTGTGAAGAACATCCTTCACTGTAGAGCATCATATGTAATATAATGTTAACACTTGGATGCTAATTGTCAAGGTGACCCACCAGCTGCTTTATTTTTTCATGATGACATGTGCTCTATGTCTGGGAACAATGGTGTCTTGCTGTTCCACAAGGGATGGTGAGCCAGGAGCCAAACACGGTAACAAGACAAGTGGGTGCATGGACCTCACTGACATGGAGCCAGGGCAGCAGGTCAGGGTCAGACACAGTCCAGGGATCACCTAGCAAGTTTATGGCCACAAGATGGGTCAGATAAAGCCACAAAGTCAGGACAGGACATCCATGTCAGGATGGGAGAGGCAGAAAACTAGGCCTAGACGTAAATGCTGCACACGTAGGAATCTGTAGTAGAGGCTGAACTTAAAATCGGCTCTGACCAACCCTCTCTTCAGCTTACTTCACAACTGGTCTTCTCAGTACAGGATCCTTGACCTCAGCCAGTTGAATTCCTTAACCCAAACACCTGAACTCTCAGAAGGCTAGAGCCTGCTCAGGATCCCAACAATAGTACATAAAGTTCAATAAATACTTTGATAACTAGGCCAAAAATAAAAAAATAATCAATAGATATTTCTGAGGCTGTTAATAGTTTTTGCCAGTTTGATTCCCCCTCATATTGTTTTCATTTCATTATCACACTGTGCAAACTGTTTTGCTTCCAAGGTAGTACGTGAAGTTGTTCAGAATACCTGCAATGGAAGCACAAGACTTGTAGCTGATCACACTTTCTTTCTCACAGTAACTGAGGAGCTGTGAACCATCAGCCTAAAATGCAACGTTGTACTGTGACAGAATGAACTGTAAAAGATCTGATTGTGAAGTCTCTCTTTTTCTGCTATATAGTGTTCACACGCAATAGAAATGACCATAAATGGAGATAACAATTTTTCAGGAAGACGGGTTTCCCTCACTTGAAATTCATGCATTCAAACAGATAATATTTGTGTTAGAACCCAGGTACTTTATCTGCAATGAGAATGCCCCAACCATCTTAGAGTGATCTGGAATAAATCTTACAGTCTCACTTTTAAAAATGTTTGGTTTGGAATAGGATATTAAGTTTGCATTGATGTTAAAGATGATAATTTTATAACCTAATGATTAAGGAGTATATACCAGTCCTGCACTACTTGGATACGTTTCACCAAATGAGTTTTCTCCTTTAGGAGTCTATATATCTATATCAAAGTTACTTATGATCTCCTTATATTAATTTGATAGAAATTGGCCCAGTTGAGGTGCAGTTCAATTCTTACTAAAATTCATGTATTTATTTCTCCAATCAATACAAGGACAGCCTAAAGTGATCAGTTCAGTGCAGCTGTCAAATTCTAATATGGTGATGCTGTGGTTTAGCCCCACTTGGCAGGTCAGCCCCACACAGCAACTTGTTCACTCCATCCCAGTGGGACGTGGGAGAGAATCAGAAGGGTATAGGTGACAAAACTCGTGAGTTGAAATAAAAGCAGTTTAACAGATAAAGCAAAAGCTGCACATGCCAGGAAAGCAAGATAAGGAATTCATTCATCATCACTTCCCATGGGCAGGCAGATGTTCAGCCATCCCCAGAAAAGCAGAGCTCTGTTGTGTATAATGGTGACTTAGAAAGACAAGCTCCATAACTCTGAATGTCCCCCTCTTTCTTCTTCTTTCACCAGTTTTTATGCAAACAGGATGCCATGTGATCTGGGATATCCCTTGGGTCAGTTGGGGTCAGCTGTCCCAGTTGTGTCTCCCTCTCAGCTCCTTGTGCACACTCAGCGTCCTCACTGGTGGGGTGAGGAGTAGGAAAAGCCTTGACTCTGTATCAAAGTGCTAATCAGCGATAATAAAAGCACTCCTGCAGTATTAGCACAAATCCAAACCCACACTGCCCACTATGGATAAAATTAACTCTATCCTAGCCAAAACTAGTACAGCTTATTTTCATTCCAGCAGACAGATTCACATTCTGTTTCTTAACTCAATTCAAATAATCACTTTACACTCAGGACAGTAACAGAACCAGGAAGCAATAAAGATGGGGAGAGTTTATTTCCCTCTACCGGCATATGCAGTTCTCGACTTTGTTTTCAAATGTTGTGATATCCACAGTGAACCAGGCACTGAGAGGACACAGGTATAAACTGAAAAAGATATAATTATGTCAATTAAACTTTGAATATGTGGCAGATCTTCATTCAGGCTGCCTGTTTCGGGCTATATTCAGAAGTTGACAAGAGAGC